AAAAAAAAATTCTTGGCCTTAATGAAATACTACCTGCTTTATTAATAAACATAAGAACAGAATCAGTAGAACTTCAGAAAGAAGTATAATCTGTCTTACATTTTAAAAAGTACTTTTACATCCATTGTCTCACATGTATCTTATAATCCTATGAGGTGTAGACACATTATTATTTCTACTTTGCAGAAATTGAGCTTGTCAAGGTTAACTAACCTACCCAAGGATATATAGCTACTTAGTAGTAAAGCTGGGACTAGAAACCAGGTCAACATATTTGAACTCCTAGTCCAATTCTTCTTCATTCTCTCTCTGTGATACTGGAATCTGAGTCCCAAAATAAAACTAAAACTCAGCTTTAGCCGCAGTAAGTTCACCCGAAACAGGTCGTGAAACAAAAGCTGGATGCCTGTTTCTGGTCTGCAATCCTTTTGATGGATATCTAATTGCCAAGCCCAAAGGAATTTTCAGACCATTTTTACTTGACCTCTCTTCACTATTTGATATCACTGACCACTCCATCACTCTTGAAACTTTCTCCTCACTTGGTCATCCTACTTTTATGATGGCTGCTTCTTAGTTCTTTCCATCCCTTAAACACTGAATGCTTCTAGAGTTTTGTTCTCAGCCTCTAATGGAGTTATACCACCCACGAGTATGGTTTTAACAACTACCTATCATAGTGGTTGGAAACGATGTTCCCCAGACCGCCTGCATTAGAATCATCTGGGATGTTTATAAAACAATGCAGATCCCTAAACTTCATCCTAAATCCTACTGAATTAAACTGTGGGTTGGGGCTGCAGGAATCTGCATTTTAAAATAATCTCCAGCCCTTGGCTCACTTGGGAGAGTGTAGTGTTGATAACACCAAGGCCACAGGTTCAGATCCCTACATAGGGATGGCCGGTTAGCTCACTTGGGAGAGCGTGGTGCTGACAACACCAAGTCAAGGGTTAAGATCCCCTTACCAGTCATCTTTTAAAAATAAAATAATCTCTACTCCTAGTGATTCTTATGTCTACCAATGGCTCACGTCCGAACCTCTCTTCTGGGTTCTAGGCTAAGCTCCTATAAATAATTCTTGATGCTTCAAACTCAACTTTTCAAAAGAGAACGTCTTCTCTTCTCCCTTTCCTGTACTCTCTCTCAGATAAGGATCTACCTGTTTACCAAAATAAGAAACCTGGTAATTATCGTTCACTCACTCAGCTCCCGCCCATGTAGCTGTTCATCAGATATCTCAGTTCCTCATAATTTCCCTCCAAAGTACGTTCCTGAA